CCTCAGACAAACTCTTGCAAGCTGATTGAATCTGTACATGTATCACTACATGAGATGGAACTACAGACACTACCTCAGACAAACTCTTGCAAGCTGATTGAATCTGTACATGTACCACTACATGAGATGGAACTACAGACACTACCTCAGACAAACTCTTGCAAGCTGATTGAATCTGTACATGTACCACTACATGAGATGGAACTACAGACACTACCTCAGACAAACTCTTGCAAGCTGATTGAATCTGTACATGTACCACTACATGAGATGGAACTACAGACACTACCTCAGACAAACTCTTGCAGGCTGATTGAATCTGTACATGTACCACTACATGAGATGGAACTACAGACACTACCTCAGACAAACTCTTGCAGGCTGATTGAATCTGTACATGTACCACTACATGAGATGGAACTACAGACACTACCTCAGACAAACTCTTGCAAGCTGATTGAATCTGTACATGTACCACTACATGAGATGGAACTACAGACACTACCTCAGACAAACTCTTGCAGGCTGATTGAATCTGTACATGTACCACTACATGAGATGGAACTACAGACACTACCTCAGACAAACTCTTGCAAGCTGATTGAATCTGTACATGTACCACTACATGAGATGGAACTACCGACACTACCTCAGACAAACTCTTGCAAGCTGATTGAATCTGTACATGTACCACTACATGAGATGGAACTACAGACACTACCTCAGACAAACTCTTGCAGGCTGATTGACTCTGTACATGTACCACTACATGAGATGGAACTACAGACACTACCTCAGACAAACTCTTGCAAGCTGATTGAATCTGTACATGTACCACTACATGAGATGGAACTACAGACACTACCTCAGACAAAACTCTTGCAAGCTGATTGAATCTGTACATGTACCACTACATGAGATGGAACTACAGACACTACCTCAGACAAACTCTTGCAAGCTGATTGAATCTGTACATGTATCACTACATGAGATGGAACTACCGACACTACCTCAGACAAACTCTTGCAGGCTGATTGAATCTGTACATGTATCACTACATGAGATGGAACTACCGACACTACCTCAGACAAACTCTTGCAGGCTGATTGAATCTGTACATGTACCACTACATGAGATGGAACTACAGACACTACCTCAGACAAAACTCTTGCAAGCTGATTGAATCTGTACATGTACCACTACATGAGATGGAACTACAGACACTACCTCAGACAAACTCTTGCAAGCTGATTGAATCTGTACATGTATCACTACATGAGATGGAACTACAGACACTACCAAATGTATCACTACATGAGATGGAACTACAGACACTACCAAATGTATCACTACATGAGATGGAACTACAGACACTACCAAATGTATCACTACATGAGATGGAACTACCGACACTACCAAATGTATCACTACATGAGATGGAACTACAGACACTACCAAATGTATCACTACATGAGATGGAACTACCGACACTACCAAATGTATCACTACATGAGATGGAACTACAGACACTACCAAATGTATCACTACATGAGATGGAACTACCGACACTACCAAATGTATCACTACATGAGATGGAACTACCGACACTACCAAATGTATCACTACATGAGATGGAACTACCGACACTACCAAATGTATCACTACATGAGATGGAACTACAGACACTACCAAATGTATCACTACATGAGATGGAACTACCGACACTACCAAATGTATCACTACATGAGATGGAACTACAGACACTACCAAATGTATCACTACATGAGATGGAACTACCGACACTACCAAATGTATCACTACATGAGATGGAACTACCGACACTACCAAATGTATCACTACAAGAGATGGAACTACCGACACTACCAAGTTGTACTGAAGGATGTATCACCACTGCTGAACCAAACACTCCCAATATATTTTTTTCATCACAGTAAGGACAGTAGAAGTTTGTATTATGTATAAAAGAAACATTCGTGCTTTTAAATTCTTTCATTTTATATGAATTCTTTCTGTTTGCTGAATTTTCATGATTTTGTGCTCCTGGTGTTGAATGTACCTTAGTGCACATTAATATGATGTATTAACATGCCATATGTTATAGGAAATTTAAGATATTTCTGATGCCTACGATTCTTTTTGAACTAAAACAATTTTCTACTGCATTTACTGCAATTAAAAGGAAAACAGCTAAAAGCAATATTACTGCAGTAGGGTAGATCTCCTCCTCCTCTCCTTTCTTATCTCCACTCAATCATATTAGGATATCAATTTGTGACCCTTGATGGTGTCTGTTTGACAACCACCATGACTGGGTGAAGTAGAATACGTCTGCCTTTGTCATTAAGACTGGGAGCACTACTCAGTGGCAGGCCGACTTAGCTCCAAAAAAATGGCCGCCTCTGACATGAGGAACAGACGCCATGTGTAGCCTCTCCTAACATGGAGTACAAACGCTGCTCATCCTGTATCCCTGGATTAGGAGCCCTTACAGGGTACTATCAGCCGGGCCAGCTGAACCCAGGTTTTTTTAGCGAGCTTGTTACTGCTCCCCTCCTCCTTTTTCATTTGGGCTTGGGACCGGCAAAGGCAGAGTTAGTAGGGTAGATTAAACTAGCAAACAGCTGAGAGGGTTCATGTTGTATATATATATATTTTAATTGATTAATTATTCCCACAGAGTATTATGTGTAAGCTCATAGGTAACTAGGTGCTAACCCTAAGAAAAAAAGTTTCTTTGTTTTAATATTAATTTCTCTTTTATAATTTCTTCTATCTCGTGTAAATCAATAAATATAATGTTTGATTAATATTCTTGGAATCAGTTTCATTAAAAATTCTAAGCTAAGTCAACAGTTCACCACTGATGAACCAGGCCTCCCCATTATTTTATCATTGAAGTAAGGGCAGTAGAAAATTGTTTTACAGTAGAACTTGGATAATTCGAACTTCTTTAATTCGAAAACCTCTTTAATTCGAATATTTATCTTGGTCCCTAGAAGCCTTAAGCCTTTATTCAAAATATCTTTAATTCGAATTTTTGGATAATTCGAATTTTTTTATGGTCCCTTGGGGTTCGAATTATCCAAGTTCGACTGTATTATACAAAAAGAATCATACGTGTCAAAATAGTTTAAATTTCTTTTAGTACATTAATGTGTTATTAATCTTCAAATTAAGGAAATCTGCTTAACCATCAAGAAAATCATCTTTTGTTTTATATATATAGTTTTCAATTAGGTTAAGTTCTGGCAGGCTTAAGCACTAAATGTAAAATATGCTGATTCTTTCAATTCAAAAATTCACAAAATTTTAGAACACATAAAACTTTAAAAAGCAAAATTTAAACAATATTTTTGAACACTCATGTTAATATTAATCCATTGACATTTTATGTAAATTATTATATAAATACACTTACTAATTAAAAAATGTTAATATATTAGATTCAAAAGAACTAAAGAATATTTTGAATGCATCCCAAACATATAAATACTGGACTGAAGAAGTATTTTCGGTCTGCTAAAATCAGTATCTCAAAAAAGATTATATTTGAATGTTTATTCCTTTAAAACACAAAGATTGGGTAGGTTTAATTATCAAAACAAAACCATAAATATATATATAGTTTTAGAAATAAAAAATGTCATATATATAAATACCTTTTATAATACTTGTTAGTAAGTATTAAAAATTCTGACGTCGTGCGCGAATTTTTTTATGTTGAGATGAAAATTTGCTGAGGCTAATTAATGTTTTATTAAAATTTTGTATGTTATTTTTAAAATAGGCATCTTTAAAGAGAAGAATATGCACAAGGCAGTTTGTAAACATTGATTTTTTTCTTGTTTCGTTTAGTAAACAATTCCTTTTGGTAGATATGATAAGAATGACCACAGAATATTTCTCTATTGAAAATTAAAAAAAAAAAAATTATAAATGCTATACTATAAACTCAATATATGCTTATATTTTATTTTCAAAATAATATATATGGTATTTAATAAATATATTTTGCCTTTGAAAATATGTTATTCATAAATCAGTAAAATTTTCAATAAGAAAACATACATTCGATTTTCAGCTTTCTCTCTCTATTACTCAATTTAAATCTATTAAAACGAAAGATTTCAGAAACTTTGACCAAAAAAATTTAAGTAATTCTTATATTTAGCAACATGTTTAATTAACCATGTTCATGAAAGACCCTTAGCAATGTGTTATATATTAAATACTAGATTTAGAACTAATTGTAACCTTAGGTAATTTTGTACCTTATTAATAATTTCTATATACCCTTATATTAGCATTTTAATCCACTTCATTATTATAAACATTATTAAAGAGAAGTAAAATCCTCTGCAATATATATATAAAAAATTAACAAAACTTCTTCTGAGGGTGAGTTTCTTGTTTTATTTTTTATTCATCTCAAGCTTTAGATTATCACAAACCCTCTGTAGAATTATTATTTTATATAAACATTATTATTAAAGTTCTTTCATCTTTATTAGCATCATAGTTATATCAGTTTATTATATCAATATAAATCAATTTAGAGTTTTAATTATTTTTTTGTACTTTGCTGTTTTCTTTCACCAAAAGAGGACGCTTTTTCCACAAAGATAGCTACATATTAAAGATGTTTACATTACTTTATTTTTATTTTGTTTATTTTTTAAATATTCATAAATTATCTCAAAAAGTGCCACGCCTCGATGCATCGATGTATCGGCTTTAAGAAATATTTGCTAATTGCCGCGGCAACGATGATTCACGGCTCGGGAAGCAAAGAGAGAGTAGGGCATTTTTTCCCAGGGTTTGTATTTTCATGCCTTTATCTATTACTGTTGTACATATTTGATCATATGCCGTTTGTTTATTATATTCCTATCTATATTCATCTACTTATGTAATTGCCTTATTCTGTTTGTGTGAAGTTCACGGATATATTTTGGTCAGAATGGATAAAATAAAAAAAGTGTCAAGGGATGGGAATCGAACCCACGAACCCACGACCTTCCGCTTACCGGGCAGATGCCATGACCACTAGGCTACCCTGGACATATTTTTCCGTTCATAAAGTTAATATATAAATATTAATATATATATTAATTATTATAAATTATATATTTATTAAATTATATTATATAAATGATATTATTTTGACGTGACAACGTCTTAAATTAGGTTGCGGCTGGGAGTCACTTATGAAAAAGTGTAACGCCCGGTAAGTTACGATGAGTCACCGAACGAGAGTGCTGCGCGCGCAGCTGCGCGCGCAGCGCTAGAGAATTAGGCGCATTGAATCGGCGCATACCTGTCTCTGTCTTTGTCTTTCTCGAACGTTCTTGGCGTTGGAAAAACAAGAAAGCGTCATAATACAAGTTCACACGTGTGGTTAAAGTATCGTCAGCTGTGTCTGTAGTGAAAATGTGGAGTGCTTAGATTCGTCATTTACAACAACTACAACAATAAAGGTAAATAATTGTACACTGATATTTCATTATCGTAAACTATGATTGATTGATTAATTGTTAGATTGACACAAAAGTTGAGAAACTGAGTTTATAGGGTATGTCATACTATTGATAAATGTTGATAGTGTTAAGTAAATTATTAGTTTAAAATTAAATAATTAATTAATTATTATTTTACAAATTTTAAATAGTTTCAAATTTATTTAGCAAAAATTTGAACCTTCGATCTGAATAAATGTTTTGATTTTCGAATTGATTCTTTAAAATTACAAATATTAAGAAAAAGTGGCAGATATAAGAAAACTTTAATTAAACTGTGTTGAGCAAGAATTTTAACATCTAATTTAAGTAAATGTTTTAATTTTCAACTTCATCATTTACAATTACAAATTTAATTTAATTTCAAATTTATTTAGCAAAAATTTGAACCTTCGATCTGAATAAGTGTTTTGAATTTCAAATACCAACGCGGCTGGTGGAGTGGCGATCTATCGTAAATTATCATCGACATCTACGGCGGAAGTGTTCCAAGTTGCGATTACAGACGTAACTCGTGTCATTAAAACCAAGGGTGACATGTGCATGACTGAAGTTACTTGCTTCGCCGCTAATACTAGCTTCAAGTTTATACTCGGTGCTGTATATATTCATCCAGGAGCTAGTATGCAGGATATTGGAATGTTACTATGGCAAGGACTCGGTCCGTACATTCACAACAGCCAGTACGTGCCACCGTTCGTGCAAGTTGATTCTAGTATACCGATTCTTCTGTGTGGTGATTTTAACAAAAACGTAAAGCCTGACAACTCGTTTCTTAATTTCATGAAAAATACGTATAATCTTGATTGCGTATCAAACGTTTCTAAGTCAACTACGTTAAAAGGAACAACTATCGACTTGACTTTCGCAAGACACATTACAGCAGAAACACTTCCTTTCATTTCATATTTCTCCTATCATCGTCCTATCCTCAACAAAATCACTCAAATAGGAATTAGTTAAGTTTAAGTTTACATGTACAATGTTTTAGTAAACAAAATATATTTCTATAGTTAAAATTTGTGCAATTCTTATTTTCATTCAATTCCTTGTTCCTATTGTGCAATTTAAATATATTCATATCAATAATAATTCTACCGTTGTCACGTAAAATCTTCGCCCGTAAAACCGACTTTACAGGCAACCATTTTTTATTATAATAATATTATATTCTTAAAATTATATTATTATTATAAATTATATTATATATAAATTATAAATATATATATGGTGCCTTTAAAAAATGATCTTTATTACTATGCAGTTTTCTATTTAGTCAATATACCTAAGTTCATGTTGCAAATGTAATTATCTCTATCGATTTAGTAGGTGAAATGCAAATAAAAAATCGACATGATGAAATCTTTATGAAAATTCACATTTTTATTTTTATATTTTCAAGACACACACAGTTTGGGGCGGGACGTTTCACAAGAGTGACATCCATGGCGCCAATTTATAATTGTAACGAATAGTATTTGAATTAAAACGTTTTAAAAATATATACGCACTCGGGTAAAACCCGGAGAAACCGAAATTTCACTTGGTTGTCCAGGCTTTTGATGATTATTAGAAAGATTCAGATATTTTTTCCCCCACTGAGAGTGAATTTGGTAAAAAAAAACGACACATCAGAAATATGGGCAAGATGTTTCCCCTTCTAGCGTTTTAAAACCTTTAATTAATTCAGAAATAACTTGCCCACAACACAGCTTTTCAACTTTAAAAAGCCAATATATTATTTTTTAACCTGCTTTTCTTTATATTTTTATAAGCCCTATTAATTTAATTCTAGTCTATCTGAAATTTTGTACCAGATTATGGCAAAACATGCATAACAAATATCTCCCATGGCCGTTTTGAATTTGGATGGTATGTGTGTGAAGCTACAACAGGATATTGTCTCCTATTTTCATCCATACAATGGTAGATTTAGTGAAATTTCCAAAGATATATTTTATGGTGTGCCAATAAATCTCCTTACATATTCAAATTTTATAGTAAAATTATCACATAGTAATTGTTAAATTTTCTCTAGTGTCCACCTTGCAAAAGACATCTTTGGTAAACATCTATCTGATTGGAACAATAAGGTCCAATTATAGGAATTATTCTAAAACTTTAAAAGAACATTACTAAACATAGATGAAGTAATCTATTTGAAGAATATGCTTCTAGCAACAGCATATACCAAATAAAATTAAATAGAAATTCTGTAAATTTTTTGCGCACCTTTTATGATGTAGTTTTAGCAGTTGAGCAACAGAGTTGAAAGAAGCAGTTTGAGAGACCCCTCTCTCATTTATATTCTTAAGTCAAAAACATCTATGATGATTACAAGCGGGTGTTGACCTAAGTCATATGATGATGTACTGTTATGTGGAGGTGAGGCAGAGCCATAAACATCACAGAAAATTGGTCCTAAAATAATATACTGTAATCAACTCCCAAGATTACTAGACAGGAATACCAAGTATCTGTGAATAGAGTGCTGAGAAAAAATGTTTTCGAAAATTTAGCATATCCTAATTTGATTCTATCATTCAGCTTTCCTATTAGCTATAATTTTACCAGAGCTACATTACACCAGAAAGGCCAGGAAAAATGGCATGAAAATTACATATTCTTTGGGCTCCCTTCACCTGTATTTTCCTTTAAAGCTATTTTATGCGGAATTTGAAATACCATTTAAGACACAATGTATATCTATAATAGGTTTAGAAAAGATTCAAAACGTTTTAACCATTTAAATAATCATTTGAATATAAAGGTAAAATCTTTTGTGATCAATTAAAAATGTGTTTTATATATAATACACACATGAAACAGATAAGATATTCCAATAAATAAACTCTAAACTCTATAGAAATTTATATATTTCCATTTTTACATTTGATAGAGATTCAGCTTCATTATCAGGGTCGCTTAGAAGGTTATTGACTGTAAGTAGACCATCTTTTTCTTTCTTAGTAGATCAAAATATGGAGATATGATTAAAAACATAGTTTTTAGTGTCTAATTATTAATTGCTTTTTTTACTGAATATACATCTATTTTGGACTATGGTACGATGTTGAATGGCCAATCTCCATTCTATATCGTGTCATAGTCCAAATATATGTAGATTAAAATAGGTTATCCTAAAGTTCAACTTCTCTGCCATCTAAAAATGCTTATGTGAGCCTGGTCAGGATATGCCTTTTTTGTTTTCAATTGACTGAGTGTCAATAAAATATTTTGAATTGTCTAATTATATAAAATAAAAGAGTAAAAATTGAAGAGTAAAAAAATTAATATTGTTACACAATATAAACGAAAGGTTGCAGCCCGCGTACATAGGTGTGTCTATTTGTAGAGGGATGTTCCATTTAGCAAGGTTATTGGAAGTTAGGGCGATTGCAGAGTTTATAGGCTTTGTTAAATAATGTATTGAGGTTTGTTTTGTGGGAGAGATAAATTAATGATTCAGCCAATTTCTGGAAGAGCAAATAGGAGGAAATAAATAAATATTAATGACTGAATGCCACTTTCTGAATACATGTGGATGATGGTTGCCTGTAGGGAGATATATTTGTAATTATACCGGCTTCTGAATATATATAGGGAAGAAATTTGAATAAAAACAAATTATATTTTGTGAATTTGAATTTTGATTTTAAAAACCAATGGTTGCTATTGGCTTGGTTATCAATTTATACTTTATAAAAACAAATCATTCAAAAAATTGTATTAATTTTATTCACAACAGTATATAATATTTAATAAGTAAAAATACATTTTAAAAAAAGCTTATATTTAAATGCACTAAAAGGAAAAAATAAAATATTTTATCTTCTGTCATTGAGCAATTAGATGTATCTGAGTGAAAATAAAAGCGGCGGGGGACGATCATGATGAATTTCGAACCTAATGGGATTTAATATGTAGCAGCTGATTAGCGATTTTTATAAGTGTTTGCTATATTTTTACCTCTTCTCTAAATATGATAGCCCCCCGCCGCTTTTATTTTCACTCAGATACATCTAATTGCGCAATGACAGAAGATAAAATATTCTATTCCTTTTTAGTACATTTAAATAAAAGCTTTTCAAAAAAATGTATTTTTACTTATTAATTATTTAGTTAATTTTTATTCACGAATTTACAAAACTTAGAATCAAAAGTTCACTGGGGATTAGGCCTTAAATAGACGGAAGTCTCCTGCTCGCAGCGGATTGGTTAATTCCTTGTAAGGGTACACAACATAAGACTTGAAAATAAATTTTAAAAATTATTCATTTCTGTCTAATCCGACCACCCAGAAGTCTGAAAATTTGTACACTTCCATTATTCACTGGACTGAGTGAGCTCTAAAAGTTTCATACTTTTATGTGATCTGGAACTATATTAAAATTAATTTACAAAATTTGAAAGGCAATTAGGAAATTTGACCATTTCCGGCCACTCTGGAAACTCAGAAGTATGAAAATTTGTCAACTTGCATTGTCATCGGGTTCTGAAAAGTGTACACAATTTCAGATTCCTACGTGCTCCAGAAGTATATTAA